AAAGAGCCAAGATTGCCGAAACATGCGGGGGGCAGGAGGTGCGGGCTAACAGCCGCAGCACCCCAAAAAGCCAAGATTGCTGAAAGACGGGGGGAAGGAGGTGCGCGCTGGCACGCCTTTGGGAAGCCCCTAAGACCAGCCGCGCACGGGGGGAGCGCCGCTATGAGGTCGCTGACCAGCCACACACGGCGGAATACACGCTGAAACCCTCTGAAAGCCCCTAAGACCAGCTGCGTACGGGGAAGCGCTGGGGGGGATGGGCGGGGGGCCGGGGAGGGGGCGGGAGGGGGGGGATGGTGGGGGAGGAGGGAAGGTCTCGGGAAGGCCCTAACGCTCCTGAAATAGTAATTTTTCTGGTTGGGGAAAATGACCTAAAATGCCCCTCAGAGGCTCCTACGGGCCCCTCAGAAGCCCCTGGGAAGCCCCTGGGAGGTCCCTGGAAAGCCCCTGGAAGCCCCTAAGCCCCTAAGAGAATTTCGGGCCTTCCTGCGCCCGCTTGCACCCAGGTGTGGGGAAGGAGGGAGGGTCTCGGGAAGGTCCTAACGCTCCTGAAATAGTAATTTTTCTGTTTGGGAAAAGTGACCTAAAATGCCCTTCAGAGGCTCCTACGGGCCCCTCAGAAGCCCCTGGGAAGCCCCTGGGAGGTCCCTGGAAAGCCCCTGGAAGCCCTGGAAGCCCCTAAGAGAATTTCGGGTCTTCCTGCGCCCGCCGGGGGGGGGGTGAGGGATGGGGGAGGAGGGAGGGTCTCGGGAAGGTTCTAACGCTCCTGAAATAGTAATTTTTCTGGTTGGGGAAAGTGACCTAAAATGCCCCTCAGAGGCTTCTACGGGCCCCTCAGAAGCCCCTGGGAAGCCCCTGGGAGGTCCCTGGAAAGCCCCTGGAAGCCCTGGAAGCCCCTAAGAGAATTTCGGGTCTTCCTGCGCCCGCCGGGGGGGGGTGAGGGATGGGGGAGGAGGGAGGGTCTCGGGAAGGTTCTAACGCTCCTGAAATAGTAATTTTTCTGGTTGGGAAAAGTGACCTAAAATGCCCTTCAGAGGCTCCTACGGGCCCCTCAGAAGCCCCTGGGAAGCCCCTGGGAGGTCCCTGGAAAGCCCCTGGAAGCCCTGGAAGCCCCTAAGAGAATTTCGGGTCTTCCTGCGCCCGCCGGGGGGGGGGTGAGGGATGGGGGAGGAGGGAGGGTCTCGGGAAGGTTCTAACGCTCCTGAAATAGTAATTTTTCTGGTTGGGGAAAGTGACCTAAAATGCCCCTCAGAGGCTCCTACGGGCCCCTCAGAAGCCCCTGGGAAGCCCCTGGGAGGTCCCTGGAAAGCCCCTGGAAGCCCCTGGAAGCCCCTGGAAGCCCCTAAGAGAATTTCGGGCCTTCCTGCGCCCGCCTGTGCCGGGGGAGGAGGGAGGGTCTCGGGAAGGTCCTAAGGCTCCTGAAATAGTAATTTTTCTGGTTGGGGAAAGTGATTTAAAATGCCCCTCAGAGGCTCCTACGGGCCCCTCAGAAGCCCCTGGGAAGCCGCTGGGAGGTCCCTGGAAAGCCCCTGGAAGCCCCTGGAAGCGCCTGAGAATTTCGGGCTTTCCTACGCTGAAACCCTCTGAAAGCCCCTAAGACCAGCCGCGCACGGGGAAGCGCTGGGGGGCGGGAGGGGGGGGGGGGGGGGGAGGGGGGGGGGGGGGAGGGGTGGGGGAGGAGGGAGGGTGTCGGGAAGGTCCTAACGCTCCTGAAAAGCAATTTTTCTGGTTGGGGAAAGTGACCTAAAATGCCCCTCAGAGACTCCTACGGGCCCCTCAGAAGCCCCTGGGAAGCCCCTGGGAGGTCCCTGGAAAGCCCCTGGAAGCCCCTGGAAGCCCCTAAGAGAATTTCGGGCCTTCCTGCGCCCGCCTGCGCCCCCCCACGCCCCCCGCGCGGCGCCCCCGTGCCCCGCGCCCCGCCCCCCGTGCTCCGCGCCCCGCGCCGCGCCCCGCGCCCCGCGCCCAGCGCCCCGCGCCCGTGCGCGCCCGCGCCCGCCCGCGCCCGCGTTCTTGCCCGCACACGCGCCCGCCCGCACCGCCCCCCGCCCACGCCCCCCGCTCCAGCGCAGGCTCCGCGCCCACCCGCGCCCCGCACGCGCTCGCCCGCCGCGCCCCCCCGCACCCGCGCCCGGAAGGATTTCGGGCAGAATTTCGGGCTTTCGTGGAGAAGATTTCTGGCTTTCGTAGAAGAATTTCGTGCTTTCTGCTTCCATTCTACTGTTAAACCAACAACCTACGCTGTCGCATCTTGGCGCTTGCGCCTTCTAAAATTTAGGGTTTAGGGTTTAGGGTTTAGGGTTTAGGGTTTAGGGTTTAGGGTTTAGGGTTTTGGGGTTTAGGGTTTAGGGTTTAGGGTTTAGGGTTTAGGGGTTTAGGGTTTAGGGTTTAGGGTTTAGGGTTTAGGGTTTAGGGTTTGCGCAGGGCACAGCAGTCACGGCCACCCCGCTTGGGCACACAACTTCGATGAGATTTTTTTCGGCGTCGGAGTGCGCCGGAGAGCATCGGAGACTGGGGCCTTGTGTCGGCCGCGTCAGCATTTCTTTTCCCACCCGCGCCCATGAAGGGCGGCTCCCGCCCTTAACCAGCTCCGCCTTTTAGGGTTTAGTTTCCTAAACTCTTTTTTTTCCTTTCGCAGGGCAGACAATGAGAGTCATGCAGCAACGCTTGCGGTCGTGGGAGACGCGAGTTCTGCAGCAATGCTTGCAGTCGTATTGAGAGCCCTCGACATCATGCATGGCGAAATTTCGTTCGGAGTTAGGTCCTGGGTCGGCAATGTGACGACTTGCAGTCGCTTTCGCCGGGCGACGGTCTGCAGCTGTAAGCAGCGAGGGTCATGGCTTGCATCTCGCCACTGCCGCCTCTGCGGTTCGGACAGTAGGAACGCTTCATCCATACCCCCGACACGCCAGGGCGTAATCGTAGTATGTACTAAGAGCGAGCAGGATATGACATTCGGATGCTGCGAAGGTAGATCAATATCTAGCCCAGGGTTCGAAACCCATAAAGCGATGTCGTGCCAAGCCACGGAGGAAGTTCAGGGGAGCGAACAATGCCGTATTGGTTGTCAGCGTTGAAGCCTTACTGAAGCTCTAATAACGCCATATCAAAACCATCCGAAGCTTCTATTCGCACCCTTTTACGGCCGCATTAAGCTTCCATCAAAGCCACGTTAAAGCCATATTAAGCTCTTATTCAAGCTTGTGTAAGGCCTTTGTACAGTTGTATGAAAGTCGCACGGAAGCCATAGTAAAACCTTATTAAAGCATTCTTGAACACTATTCCTGAACACGAGAGTTTTCACCCTCTTCCTTAATATTGAGGCTTTAGGATTTCGCGCTAAACCCTAAACCCATTCCTAAACACGACAGCTTTACGATTTGGCGCGAAACTTTTCCTAAGCGCTAAAGCTTCAGGATCTAGTGCTAACCCCTATTCCTAAACCCCAAACAAAGCTTTAGGATTTAGGTCAAGCCTATTCCTAAACACTTTTCTTGGTGATTTAGGTATCAGAGCGAAGGAACACCGAGATCGGTCCGTCCCCCAAATACAAAACCTGTTTTTCCCGAGGAGAATTTATCACGCCAAAAATCCGCTTCCGATTTTAGAGAAATCTGCCGTCAAACAGCATGCCTAAGCACGAACTTAAACAAAAAGTCTCTAGGATTTGTTTGGCGCTAACTCTGATCCTAAACACTAAAGCTTTAGGATGTAACGCTCCTCCCTGTTCATAAGCACTAAAGCTAGACGCTAAAGCTTGAGTAAACGACAACTTACTGGAAGCACGACAGTCAGGCAAGGAGCAGCACGAAAGCCTTACTGTTTGAACCTAACACGGCTCCTAAACACTTAGGCTTTAGTTCTAAACGCTATTCCTGACCACGAAAGCTTGCGTAAACGAGAACTTTGCTGGAATGACGACAGTGAGGTAAGGATTTTCAATGGGTCCTCAGATTGAGGGCGGAGCAGCTGCAGTCCGTGTGGGCTGAGGTTTTATGATAGATAAACCGTGACACGTGACGCATCACTATCTAACTAGCAGCGCAGGACGGCGTAAACCTACGCCCGGGTTCCCAAGTCCCGGGGCCTCACTTGCCGTAGCACGAAGATGCCAGTGAGGTAAGGGTGAGGGACCGCTTCTGCGCAGTGAATCCATTTCAACGTGCGATTTTAATCGAGTCGCTGCCATCATCCAGAATGAACTAGCGTTCAAAACCGTTGTTGTTGTTGGCAGCTCAAAACGATGCAAACCTACAGCCGGGCTCCCAGAATCCGGGGCCGCAGCACGAAGGCGTCAGTGGGGTAAGGGCGAGGGCCGCGTCCTGCCAATAGATCCGCTTGAAGCGAGGACATGCCCGGAGGCAGTGTCGCCAGTCATAGTGGAGCAGCAACACATTCTCGTGACATCGTCTTTCATCGCCCCTTCGAAAGTTTTAACTGTCCCGTGTTTTCCCAGTGAAAAGCTTCTCCCGCCGAGAATGCACGGTATGCAACCCTCCAGAAACGTTTTGTTTCGGCTCCCATGATGCTTCGAGTCCGCAGACGGGCACGACAGACAGCCCAGCGCGGACTCAGTGGCTGCAACACAAGAAGCATCGCTACTGTTGGTCTCGATCATATTATAACTGACACGTCGACTCCATTCTGTGTTATCTCTTCGATTTGCACCCTCGTCTGGGATCGGAAGACTCTGTCCACATCCGTTTCTTGTGCACACGGAGCGGCCACGCACACTCTCTCTTGCGAGAACAATGTGGTCGGCCGACTGGTGGCTCGAGCAAGAGCACAGCATAAGCACTTTCGCGCCGCAGTCGTTGAAGCCTCTCTGACACCGCTGAGCAGCATGCGCGGCGCTCGGCATGCACGCGGCCCGTGAAGCGCAATAGCAGGACATGCGCGCTCGCAGGTTCAGCTTCAGGGCACTCAGCCTTGTGGTGTGTTCGCACCTCAGAAACCTCAGGACCAGAGCTCAAGTCTACCACGCTTGTGTTTTTGTTCCTCAGGCGCAGGTCTCGCGGGCTGGTGCACAGGCCGGTCGACCAACGCTCGCCATGAAATCGGGACCTGCGCAGACGCGAGGCGTGGCCTATGCCGCCCAAGGCCAAGCGACCTCTCGCAGCCAGATGCATCGAACGCTGGTGGAGCCGTGCAGCAAACAGGAGCCCCTCCGGTGCCGGCAGCCGGACTTCCGACTGAAGGCTGTTGCGGAAGGGCTTACAAGGGGACACGCAGCAGGCAGACATGGAGACAGGGGGAGAAAAGAGAGAGGAGCGAGAGACAGACTGCGGATGTATGTCTCGTGTATATAGTAGTGTACATCTATACACACATAACATGCGCAGACGTACGTACCTACAAACGGAGAGGTGTAGTCATAGACATGTACACACACGTAATTATACATATATTGATTGTGTGTGTGTGTACGTGCATATATACGTACATATTCCATACGTACGTACGTGCCCAAATACCTGTACCTGTATACATATAGCCACGCAGAGCTCACACGCACACGCACGCAGTCGCGCACTGACTCTCTCATGCCATTTATGTGTGTGCCATCGAGGTGGAGAACCCGAAGTGCCCGAGGCCGGATCAGGACAGTCCGAACCGCGGTCCCTGCGTTGGGTGTTCTGTCAGGTGCCTGCACCGGTGGACGCCCACGGCTTGGACTTCCCGGCGTGGGACTGAGGGGAAAACGCTGCCTCCGAGGTAGCAGCTCCCGAAGACGGCATGGCCCTTGGTCTGAGAGGCCGTTTTGAGCAAGTTGTGCAGCAGTAGTTCATGACAGGTGAGCACAGCGCAGCAGCACGGCCCTGAGTCGTGCGGACGAGACGACGACGACGACGACCGCGACTGCAAAGCGTGCCGTGCTTGTTAGTTCCCTTTTGCTGTCAGGCCACTACTGCCGACGAGGGGTCCGGTGGGATCCCCGAACCGAGAGACAGTGGCTGCAGGAACCTGAGCGCCTGACATGCAGGCGTGGGACCTGTCGAATCCTCTCAAGCCGAGGCGGGCTCCTGACTCCTGCTCCTGGTAGTGTGCAATCTTCTGACGTCACGGTGTCGCAGGCTCCTGCGCCGCCGCAGGCAGAGCCGGAAGCGGACCCGGCCTGAAGCTCGGAGGGAAAACCAGCGACATCGGAGACTGCCTTAATCTGCTTGCGAGGCGGCAAACGAGGGTGCGAGCCCGCGTCGTGCCAGCTATTCTTCGGAGAAACATCGCATGGGGCAGGCCAAGCCGACGCCGAGGAGGAGGAGGAAGTGGAGGCGGCGCCCTGGTCGGCGGTGGAGGGGGCTCTCTCAGGCAAGGGAGTGTTCGTGTTCCGGGCAAACACGGATAGTGGAGAGAGCGCAAGACCTCGCCTTGCAGACTGGTGGGAGATGGTGAGCTTCGGCAACTTGTGCCGGAAAGACAACCTCCTGAAAAGGCTCACCAGCAAGGATGCCATGCGCGCCGTCGCGGGGACCTGAAAAACTACAGGGCAGTGACGTGCGTGCACACACACACACAGCAAGGAAGGAACTGCCCGACTTTGTAAGGCCCGCAACCTGGACGTCCCCTGGCAGGCGGTGTACGCGCACCGCGAGGCTGTGAAGGCCCGGAGACAGTAAATCAAGTGCCACGGGCTCGAACTGAAATTCGGTGCAACTTGCAAGGCATGGCTCCTGCTCAAAGTGAAGGGCCACGAGGAAGGCAAGGCCAAGGCCGGGATTGGAGGACCGCACAGTCACGACTGGATCGGCCGAACATAACCTGCGGAGGCGTCCAAAGCCGACAATGCCAAGGCCGAGGGGAAGGCGAAGGCTCGGCGACCGCCGGGCTGGAGTCGGCACGGAAATGCGTCTCGCCGTCTCGCTCTGCACGCCGAGGCGAAGGCCGAGGCTAAGAGAAAGGTGGAGGAGGTGGAGAAGAAGTTGGCCGAGCACGCTCAGTTGCTCGAGGCCGGTGCTGCACCGTCAGCACGTAGTAGCGGAATCGACGTAGGCTGGCCTCGTGCACAGGCCAAAAAGAGGCGGAAGCAGAGCGAGAACAAGCGCCGACGCAACCGGCGTCAGGAGCTGAAGGACAAGGAGGACTCGGACTCCGAGGCCCGGAGAGCAGAGGTCGTGCATCTGCTTCGACGTCTATAACACACCGGCCGAGGCTTTCCGCAAACTTCAGAGCCTGCGGGACAAGGCGCAGGGAGGACTGGCCGGAAGAGACAACGCCCTAGCTGTCTGCGCGACAGGAGAATACTAGGAAGCACGATTCCCGGAAGCGGCTGAAGGCCAAGGCCGACGAGGGCCGGCGTATGGAAGAGGCCATCGTGATGTCTGACCTAAGCACACGGCCCCCTATGACGTTGACTACAGGAGCTGGACAAGCTCGAAAAAGAGCTGGAGGAAGCGCGCGGCAAGAAGCCGACGCGCAAGGCGGCGGGGTTGTCTGTCGCGCGCAGTCCGCGAAGTTGAAGAAAGTTGAAGCTCCGACCGAAGGAAGTCCTCCTCATATACGGGATGCGGGCGCTTCCCGTCCGCTCCGCAGATGTGCAACAGAGCCGTGCACGAGCTTCTGGAGCTTGCTCTTAATTGTTGACTCGAAAGGACGAGCCTCCGGCAAACACAAGCTCCACCGTGACGACGACGGAGGCCAGACTCGGATTAGAGCACGACTTGTCCGGATCCAGTTGTCGTGCCCGTCCCTGTCCGGAAGGTGCCGCTTCGTCCGAGCCACGAAACGGAGGTCCACTGCCAGATTCGCGGATGCAGGCTCTCACTGACCCGCACGCGACCCCTCCTACCACAATTATAGGCAGCCGACGCCGGCGGTGAGCCAACGGGGAAGGTGCGAGATGAAGGTGGCGCGGTGTTGCCACTCGTGATTGCATCGCGGCAGGGCGCGAAGAAAAAGAGCGACTCAACAACGAAGGCGCAGGATGTTGGTGGCGCGACTGTGTGACGTATTGAAACTATGACTGCTTGCGGCAGGCCGCCGCGAAGAAAAAGAAAAAGTCCGCAGAGGACACGGGGGAGGAGCCATCGGAGGGGGCAACGAGGCGGGCTCCGTGCACTCATCCCTCTGCAAGGGATTACTGCTGTTGAAGAGAAGACATCCTGCACTGAGGGACGGCTGGGAGGAGGTGCGTCCGGAGACGGCGCAAGAGGAGGCAGACAGTTCGTGGTGACGAAGTCGAAAAAAGAGATCTCGAGCGAACGATTGTTACATACCTGCAGGAACAACACCTCCAGCAGGCCGTCGCGGCCTCCCTGGAGGGCAGCACTCGCTGCCCTCACCTCCGCATCAGCCCCGCGGAGATTTCCACGCGGGGTGCCCAGACCGAGACTCGACCGGCGCCGCCGGCGCGACAGCATGGCCATCCAAGACGTGCAAGCCTGATTGCAGGACGTCGCGCGGCAGCCAGAGTGCCGCGTGAGCTGCGGAGGAAGCTGCGGCGCCCGCCCGCAAAAAAAATGAGCCGTCGCTAGGGTTCCGCGCAGGAGCTTCGAACAGGGCACGTGTCCGATGGCATAAATCAACGAAGTTTCGGCACAGTTGCAAAGAGAGTCGAGGAGCATCGCAATTCCATGCTTTTGTTTATGTATCTAGACCTTCTCGGCTAGTGGCACGGCCTACAGATCCAACACGGTAAACGAGAGTGCTTGAAGTGCTAGAGCAGCGCGAGCCTACTTCGAAGAGGTCGGACCTATGATAGGAAGGCCAAACCAGGGTGAGGAACAGCGCCGCGCCCGCGAAGGAGTCGGGTGGAACGTTCGGGACGTTCCTAATGCGGTCGCCAAGCCTCTTAAGCCCCGAGCGTCTGGTCAGCGATGTGAGAGCATGCCGAAAGAAAAAAATCGCAAGGAACAGAGGCATTTCGCGTGCCTTACTACCGGAGGCCCGTATCTGGAGGGAGAGGGGGGGGGGGAGTACCGAAGTTGGATATGATCGTGTCAAGGTCATAAGTATACGCATTTATACATGTATACATAAATGTATGTATGTATGTATGTATGTATGTACGTATGTATGTATGTATGTCTGTATGTACGTATTTATAAATAAATAAATATATATATATATATATATATGTATGTATATGTACGTATATATGTGTGTTGTCGATATGCATACATGCATACATGTATGGATGTATATATATGTATTTATGTGCATATGTAGATATGTATGTATGTATGAATATATGCATAGATGCATATGTATATATATATATATATATATATATGTGAATATGTATATATGTACGGACGCATGTATGGATGCATTCCTATATGCATATACGCATATATATATATATATATATATATATATATATATATATGTATATATTGTATATGCTGGTAATAATGGGATATGGGTTAGATGTACTAGATATATATAGTATAAAAATACATAGTTATAACCATATGTATGTATGTATATTGGTATATATGTAGATCAGTATCAGTGTATAGGTATTTATAGGTATATACGTATTGTGTTGTGGTTATATGGTGTTTCTATGTATATATATGTACATAGTATTAGTATATATGTATATTGTCTATTGCAGGTATATGTTATAAGGTATCGATGTATATGGTGTTATTATTTATGTGTGTGTGTTCTATATATATGTACATAATTACCTATCTGTAAATGTAAATGTGTAATGAATAGTATGTCGTATATGTATATATGTATATATGTGTATATGTTATATGTATTATGTATATAGCTGAGATATATTCTTATATGTCTATTATATGATATAACCATGTATATGTATACATATATATCATATAGGTGTGTTTATACATATATAGGTATATCTTTATATCCACGCAGGTAGATATGCATGTTTATCGGTGTATCTGTACACATACGTAATGTATATATAAATATAGACTTATGAATACATATATGACATATTTGACATATGCTATATGTACTCTAATTACGGTCCGTCCGGGGGGCCCCCCCGGATCCTCGGGACCCCCCCGGACCCCCCCGGACCCCCCCGGACCGGGGGGCGCCCCCGGACACCCCCGGACAAGATGTACGCAAGTGGCCGGGGGGCCCCCCCGGACCCCCCCCGGACACCCCCCGGACACCCCCAGACCCCCCCCGGACGAATCGTCGACGACCACGCAAAGGAGATTGCACAGTTGTGCAAAGTA